ACTGGATTTTGCTGTGTAAAACAAAACAAACCCTACACTGCTCACAGAAACATGTGCTCAGTGAACAATGAGAAACATTTCAGCCACGTCTCCTTAAATGTTAGATGATTTGTGAGACTGTTTCAGGCTTTCTATTGATTTTGCATGGATCTAGGTCAGAGCTGCTTTTAATTGAACAAGCTGGCTGCTGCAACTCTCACTTAACTGTAAAAAAGGGGTATTAAAAATTGATATGCAAAGCAAACTTCTGCTTAATTAGCAAGCAGATGAAGTCAGAATAAACCACCATAGTTAATAAAGATGAGGAAATGGCTTGTACTGACAGTATAATATACCCTTATTTTTTGGGAAAAAATGGCTTAAGCACTTGAGCATTATCTGTGTTTCTTGCATATGGTATTAATAGCCTATTAGTTTTCTTTGGAAGAGGCTGGGATAAATTTACAGCTGTGCAGATCAGACAAACCACCCCACATGAAGAAAGTCAATAAAAGGCAGCTATAATTTTTAAATGTGTAATAAAGGTAAATAAAAATCCCTAGTGTGCAGAAAGAAGAAACTGTGGGATTCCCTCAAGGGTTTAGTATTGTTCTACATGTGAATTTGGTGGAAGTGGTCAGTCTGTAGCGGAGGGGCGCATGCTGCTGTCGTGCTGGCAGTGTTGCGTGGGACGCTGGTGGGGCTTTGCCTGGCCTTTCCCCTGGTCAGGACCCTGGGTCAGACAGGGCTCACTGAGCAGGGCGGCTGCCAGCTTGGCAGCTCTGCCCCAGGTATGTGGGTAGGAGCTGGAGCCTGAGATGTGTCTCTGGTAGCTCTGGTCACCATGCATGTGTGCTGGCTGCAGTCTAATCCCATATCTCCACCACTCCTGATGGCCAGATGTGCCCTCGGGGATGCTCTGCTCCCTCAGCCAGGTCTGTGCCCGCCTTGCGGTCGTATGGGTTGAAGTCCAATGTGTTGATGTGTCGAGGCTGGAGGAGATCGAGAGTTCTGATTCACATCTAAACCCCATCCCAAGTGACTTACTTTGCATTATACCTGTACGCATATCCTGAATTTTAGACCGTGTGAGTAGTACCATTTACTTCCCACAGTATGCAAGTTTTGCCTAGAGTGTTGTATTATTTATTTAGGTTTATAACAAACACACAAAAAAGAGTAAATGAATAATGCATGGATGATTAGCTTATACATTTGAGCTCACAGCTGAGAGAGATGGCAGAGAGCAACTCTCATTTTAAGTTCCTTAACGCAATTGCTTTTCTTTCTTCCCCCAAAAACCCCAAGCTGTATTAAAGGTTCTGCTCTTTATCACTTAGCATTACACTAAGAAGCCACCAGGACCTGAAATTAATTTGTGCTTAAGAGCAGAGTGGCAGACTGGCCACAGAGAATATATTTATTTGAGTGATAGCTTTTCAGGTAAGATTTTTTCCATAGCTATGTATTTCAGTTTGCTTTGGTCCAAGTTACAGCTGACTAACTTAGTTTGTTTCTCACTTTCTTTAGCATTTACGAGTTTTCCACTGCCACAGCTCATGTACCAGCCTTGCCTAGTGTGCAACTATTAAGGGACCTTTCATAGAGGGGAAATTGCACATGTCAATTATTTGTAAAATGTGTTCTCTCTAAGAGATTTTAGCCACCACCTTATTCTTGAAATGGAAAAGCCTGAGACTCAGGTGAAATAAATAAGAAAAATGCATATCTTTGAATATTGAAATACAATAACACCTGGAAGTACTTGAAACATTTGAACACCTTTATGGCAGTTCAACCAACTGTATCCATAAATATTTAAAGCAGTGAATTATTTCTTGAAATTTACATTTTTATGTACTATTTTGGCTTACGAATTATTGAACAGTAAAGATACTTTCCATAATAATTTCAGCTTTCAAAATACAGTACTTGACTGTGAAAAGATTTGCCTGTGGCCATCATATGATTGAGTGAGCTCCCATCATAACACTGAGCTTCAGTATCTCCTAACTCCAAATTAAGATTTTTAACAGCATGAGGTAACTTAGATCCCATCTGTGTTTCTGCACTTCTGAAATAAAATATTTTTAAAAAGCTGTGCAGCAACTACTGTTACCTTTCAGTAGAATATACATATATGACTGGTTAGAGTTCATGTTTTCGGTATAGGATCAATGTGGATGAAGTGGCCATTTAAATCCTGCTGTAGCTTTTGTAAAGGGTTACCCTTCTTAAAATATACTAGTTTGATTTTCAGTTGATGGTAAGGTCACTACCCCATAGGTAACCATAGCCAGCAGCTACATGCATGTTCTGCTTTCTGCCAATGCCTCGTGCTTGACTGCAGGTGCGAAAATGCAGAGCAATGAACGTGCTTTTATGAGACACAATAATTTGCGTCACTGAGCTTCCTCTGTAGAGCTGCATTTGCAGCAGGGAGTAGTTGACAGTATAAAAACATCCAAGTGACTGGTACAGTCAACAAAAGGTCCCAGTAATGCACCGTGACCTGGGAGGGGAGCATTCTGCATTTCTAGAGTTGTCACAGGCACATTAGAACTGAGGTACTCTTTCAGTCGAGTAAGAACTAGCACAGTGATTTTTTTTTTTTATTAAATTTGAGTATGATTCCTATTGACATTTACTAAGGAAGCTGATACTATTCTAAAATCCTCCTGAAAATATTTGAGCAAAAGTGAGGCATTAAATTTTTTTTTATTATTTTTTTATGTATTTGCAAGTGAGCAGGAAAGTAATATTACAAAAAACTATATAAAAGACTGACATGTTTTTCTGACTGTATACCAATGTTACTGATAGTGATCGCCAAATAATAATGATTCAGGCTCTGTGATGGGTTGCATGATATTGTAATCTGATTCAATCTGCTATTCATTTTTAGGATATATTACTTTTCAGATAAACTGCGAACTGAAAATCCCCAAGAAAGGATAGTGGAATGTAAATTTACGAAGTCTAGACAGCCAGCTGAAAACTGATTTTCTACACCTTATAAAGAAGTAGACTATAAGCCAAATCTTTATTTAGTCTGAATATTTCCATAGTTTCCAGCTGGTTGCAGAGAACTGCTGTGCTTTGATTCAGCTGATAATAAAACTAAGAATGCACAAATCATTTTTATCAGGCAACAAGTACAAATGCTTCTCTGTTAAGTAAACTGAAGTGGATAAATCCTTAGCTCCACACTCAGCCAGAGTGTTTCCACTGCAACTAAGAGCTGACTGCACCAGTGTGTTGAATTTCAAGGGGTGGTGTTCAAGTAGTGTCAATGAGGTACACACAGAGAAGGTTTTCACTAATGTGATCACAGCCTTTCCAGTAGCAGCTGAATGACATAGTAAATTACATCTATTGAATGATGCATTAAGTTGGTGAGGCACTGGCAGGGCCAGACTCTGACTTTTTTAAAGCATATTCTGTTCTTTTGGCTTTCTCTTGGTTTTGCTGGAAAGGAAAAGCTGCAATCTAGACAGCATCCTGTGTTGGTGGGAAAGAGAATTGTGTGCATTTCCAGAGAATTTTGAAATTTTGTCCATATCTTTCCTTTTCCCAGATAAGCAGTATCTTGAAGAAGTGAATATTATTGGTGTAAAGAAAAAAAATAAGATATGATTGCATCTATCTGTTATGTGAAAAAGTACATCATTATTTTTGATAGAGCAATGCTCAGAAAAAATATAAGAGTATTTTAGTTGATAACTGAAACAGTTCAAATTTAGTTATAATTTGGGCTTTACATCTCTTTGCACGGCTCTTCATATTAGCAAGTCTCTCTACACAGTCATAGACAGCTGTGTTATGGACATTTCGTAGCAAAGGTCCCTGAAAGGCAGATGTCATGTTATATTGATACAGACTGTTATTCAACCTTGTACCCTGCTGGGGTTACCAATGAGGAAAAACAAACAGTTTGGATTTTCATCACAGTGTCTTTTTGCATACATTAAAGTAGGTAAGTGACCTAAAAGTTCAAGGAAGAGATTTGATTTTTGAAGGTCTTTGTCACATAAAATGTCACTGAATCCTGTTTACGAGACTTGCTAAACTGGGGTTGTTTTATCGTTTTCTCTTGGAGTGTTACTACTGTGAGTAATTAAAAGAAAAATCTTGAAGGTTGTGGTATGATATCCTTAACATTAATTTTTACTATTAACTGATAGTAATTCATGAAATACACTAATGATTACATATTGCACTGCATATCCAGTTAGATATTTTTACATGTTTCCTGTTTGACGTTTCATTGAGGAAACTTCAGGCTGACTGTGTTGTGGCTCATCAAGTTCATCTCCACACTGGAATGTCAAAGAACTCAAGACAACGTGAGATTTTGTTACTGTTGTGCAGCCATGAAGAAAGCACACATCACTACTTCACTTGGAAAAATCATTCAATTGTTTTTTTGATTTCTCCTCTTTATATTGACTCATGATGTTGTAAGCAGAAAGTCATTTTCCGACTCCAAGAATTTTCCAACCAAGTGAAATTTGACTCCCTAGATTATGGTGTTGGGCACACGCAAAATATTAACACTGGACAGTTTTGTGGATTGTGTGCTTTTTATTAGAGCTTATGAGGAGCAGAGATACATTACTTGCACAACATTGCCTTAGGAGAGAGCTTCCTTAGAAAGTGCCTGAAGAAGAACTTGTTACCAATGAAATGACAGCTGAAAAGAATTCAGATATTTCCATAAATTGTTAATAAACCCATAATTTGGTAGGATACCATTTTCAAAAATATTTTCCTGGCATATAAAAGTTCTAACGAAATTTACATTTATCCATCTGCTGCACTGTGTATGGTTTTAATAATTAAAAAGTGTATTGAAACCTACATAAACTATAGGTTTTAGGCCTAGACAGTAAAATAGTGATATAAATTGCCCTTAAAAGATTTATGATTGGTATTTACGGAATATTGAGCAAAAGATTGTTATATGATGTGGGTAATTACCAGACACTCTATAACAAAATGTGCACTTGTGTATTTTGTAGAACCACTAGATGAGCTGAAGATCAGAAGTCACAGCACTGAACCACTACCAAAGCTGGAAAACAAAGAGAGGGGAGGCCATCATGGGACAACTTCCTCCAGGGAGCCCGGGAAAGCTCAGGAATGGGATGGAACGCCAGGCCCACCTGTGGTGTCCAGCAGGCTGGGGAGATCCTCTGTCAGTCCAACCATGTTGGCTGGAAGCAACAGCTCAGGTACGTCAAGTAGCACAGCAGGAAAGATCTCCTGAATCTCCTTGTGAGCTGAAGGATCTCTAAAGGTACAGAGATGTAGCTAAGCACCCAGATTCTTTAGACTTCCAAATATCTTCTAGAATCTGCCCTGCCCATTGACTGCTGCATGAATAATCATTGTGCTGTCTGCTTGTGCTCTGTACTGGAATGGGATTAGGATGGTGGCAGGTAATATAAGCATGTAAACATGCCATTCATCTATTTTAAAAGAAGAAAGGAATTCCACTTGACATTGAAAAGGGACACTATGGCAAAGACACCCCCAGGATGGCACCTCAGAGAAGAGTTCATAAATTCAGATATCACAGTAACAAAAAAACACAGTGCAGAAACAAGGCTGTCTTATTGATGTGCACAGTGAGTGGACACAGGGAGCCTTTGCTTTATGCTTGTAAATAAATTTCTAGAAAAGTGACTATGGGTTTCAGAAGTCTCAAATTCATACCTATCCATTTTATTCATCAAATTTTATGTATATAAAATAGTGAATTGCCATAAACCATGAAAAATAATGTGGCTTTGTTTATAAATTGACTAAGACTAACAGAACTGATACATGAAGGGAAATCTACAAACAGGTATGTATAGCTCTGGCATAAGCACTGCATTGTTACTTTTTGAGATTTGACAGTTTTCTTAAAAGAGTAACTTCATTGCTTATTGTTTAGATTGTGAAAAATATCCCCTTTAAAAACAGTTGACATATATAGTACCGGAGCCTTATGGTCAATATTCAGTAAGCATAAGACCGTGAATGAGCTACTCCAACAAGAAATTATTCCTGCACAAGAGATCTGCTGGGAAGTCAGTGGCAGAGATGAGTCTTTACAGTGCCAAGCTAGCAGAGATGCTCGCCCCTCACCCAGGGCAATGCTTCCTTGTGCGATAAAGGGATTCACGTTTTCCCTAAAATGCTGGAAATGACACCTGAAACTCAGTATTCAACTTGAATAGGCTTTGCTGATGTGATGTATCATTTGCAGGAAGTGTGTAGTTCAGCTTTTCTTGCCACAGATCCCCCAGATAGTCCTGCCTGGGGCAGCAAAAGTGACTTTTCTGCAAATCTCATGACTCTAGCACAGGTTATTTGGGTGCTACCGCCTTTTACTTACTTGTCTGTTCTCACAAAGCATCCTAGTAGGTAGGAATTTTCCAGATTAGCTCATAGCTTTGTTAAAAATTCTGTTCCCAGTGTATTAGAATGTCATCTATGCTAATGCAGGTAAAACAGTGGGTTTAAAGGTACCATGTTAAAGTGTCGGGGCATTTGATAATTAGACCAAAGATGTGTACCAACCTTTTCAGTTCTGTGAGATGACAGTACAGAGCAGAATGGAAGAGAAATGAAAATAAAAGAGTAAGTTCTTAGCAAAATCTAGCACTTCTGTCCAACCTTACTGCATCAGTTTTATTTCAAAGAATTGGTTGATCTCCAAAAGCAGACAAAAACATGTTGGCCTCAATCTTCATTTGGCATCAGCAAACTGCAATAGTTGTTGAATCATGCCTTGATTTTGTTAACTGTGACTTTGTCTTACATAGCTAGGACTGTCAAAGAAAAATTATGGAAATATTTTATTGGCTGAATTTTTACTCCTTTTTTACGATTAAACTCTGAGAGCTGATTATGATTTTTCTTTCCCCACAGTTTTTATGACATTTCATTTGATGAATATTGTCTCTCATCTGCCATGAATATTTTTTCCACTGTGTCTCTAGCTGTTGCCTGAGCAAAATATTTTACCTTTAATTGGGGAGGCATTGCATTCAAAATGCTGTACACAGTTCTCAATGAACTTGTACATGAACTGTAACAGTTCATTCTTTGCAATTAAATTAGAACTGTAACAGAATGCAAGAAGAGAGATTTAATACATCTGTATGGATGCAAATGCTTTCTGGAGTCAAGGAGATAAAGTAATTCTGTACTAGGAATTAGAACTTAGATTTACCACAGGACCAAATAAAATCAGGGCAGTCCCCAGTACAGTCATCATTGCTGTTGCTCTCTTTCCAACATCATAGATAAGAGAAAAAAAAGGCTACTTTTTTGTGCGGACTTGTCCTTGAAACACCACAGTTTGCTGCCTACCTCCTAGTTCACACTGGTACAGGCATTTATTGGAATAATTTCAAGAAAATGGGGTTGAATTGCTCTGCTGCAAAACAGAAAGGATGTGAAAGGACTTTTCTTGTGTGCTCAACAGGCAGCTCTGCCGAGGCACAGAGTAACTAGGAACTGGAGTGTTCTGAGCGAATACCTGAGTGAGAGTACTGATTTTTTGTGGTTTCTCCCCATCTCTTCACCTGCAAGTAAGACCAGAAGGGAAATGTGCCATCTCCAAACAGAATCTTGAGCTTTCTGGTCATTTTGTTCAAATGAGCCTGGCTTGTCAGGTGCACACGGGTACCACTGTGTCTAATACCTGATTGTTCTCTCATCTGTCACATAATTTGTCAAGGCCACTTTCTGTTTCTTGGCATCCTATCATTTCTTATGGAAAGCAGTGTAAATGGTTTGGGGGCATGCTGGCATTTAGGAAAGTCAGTGCAATTGTAGTGAACAGCCAAACAAGATCTGTGGAAGAGAAGCCTGTGATAACTTCACTCCAGGAGCTTTGAAGAGTATTTTCTGGAATGTTGCTGCTTTTTTCCTAACTGCAACCATGAAGCATTGTGCATTGCCACCTGCTGCTAGAGACAGGCACTGCGCTGTCTTTTAAATCTCAGATGCTCTACTCTGTTCTGTCCTGTTTTTGCATCACCATCAACTTGTCACTCAGCTGGCCCACTAGTATTCTAGCTGAAAACACTGTATATAATCAGGAAGGTAGTAGATGCCCACCTTTCATTGGAATTACTGACTAACATTGTGGATTTGCAAAAGTAATGAATAGTTAAGTTCAAGCTCTTCTGGAATGCAGAAATGCCCGCGAAGCCCAAGGTGCAAGACGCATTCAATGGTACAAGAAGGGAGTAGCAGCAAAGTACTAATTCGTGCTAGCTAGGGCTGCTTCACTTAAAGACGACTGAGTACTCCCACCAACCCCTAAATTTTCTCCTCACAGGCAATGTCAGAGTATCACTGTGCTACTAAATCCTCAAGGATTCTCCAAGTGAAGGCAACTTAATGCTGGAGGCATATGTTACTGTGCAACCTGCCCAAGGAGGTCCAGGCCAGGATGCAATGCTTCCAGACCTTGCCTACGCTGGTCATCCATGTTCTCCGCACACGAGCCCTCCCCTAGCAGCGCCTGTCACCTCAAGTACAATGAGTAGTACTGGGAGCTATATACTAAGGGCATCACGCCAGTGCACCACGAGCCAGGTGTGTGATCTCCAGGGCGTAGGATCACACAGTCACCGAGCCTGACTCTAGAAGTGCACGCTGCTCTCTGCAGCAGTGGCGTTACTGTTATTTGGAACAATGCACAACTGTCCTTTTGATCCAGAGCCCCAAGATTGGCAGTAGCCTGTGCCAGAAGCTTCAAAGAAAAATAGCAAGAAATTTTAAGCAAAAGCACTGCCAGAAAGACATGATTATTCGTTACCGCAGTGCCTCAGTCATTGACATAGACCTGAGACATGACAGTTCAGAACAAATCTTAATTTAAAACATACCCCATCTAATATAGACATGTTTTTTCTCATTACCTGACTTGGTTTTGAGACCTGCTAAGCTTTTGACCTATGGATATCTGGTAACATTGAGTTCCACAGGTTCAGTGCTCCCTTTGTGAAAACAGTTCAGTTTGAGATGCTGCTGTGCTATTTCAGCACTAAGCGGCTTCTGCAGGTGAAGTCCTAAACACTTTTTTTTAAGTGACAGAATAGTATATAGTTTATTCCACCTTAAGGTTTCATAATTTCAAGTTATGTCTCAGCTCACTCATGCCTTTTTAGGAGACCAACATGGCCAGGCCAGTATGATGACAATAGGTGTTATTCATTTTTCCAGTATGCACGGGGGTTTTTTTGTCTTTTTTTTTCCTTTTTGCATGTGATTACTCTCAGCCTGTCACATCGCCTTGTTTAATTCAAAACGTGCTTCTTGGCAGCTGTAGCAAATAAGCAATATTTCTCTTTTCATGTGCAAAGAAGAGACTGTGACAGGATAAGAAGCTTCTCCAATGTAAGTGACAGCCAGAGTAGTTTTTTGAATTAAGATTAGGATAGGCAGAATGAAGCCTCCTTGGATGAATAAAAGAACTCTTCCTGGTAAGATCCAAAAATAAAAATCATGCAGAGCTTTTGTATATCTGGAGAATATAGAAAACCATAGCACATCAGTATAAAACTGATCGAAAATATTTCCATAAATTCTTGTCACGTTTCAGCACTGTGCGTTATTGAGGAAAATACAACAATGCCCGCTGCCCCAAATGCAACCGGCCAAGCCTCTACATCTTTAGTTACGATGACAGCACTTGCACTTTGGAAAACAGGTCATTTATGTGAGTGCTTAAATACATAATTAAGTAGAAAATTTTAAGGCAATCCTATTTGCGATTGGAAAGCCTGTATTTCTGTGTTGGATAGTCTCTCCTAAAATTCTCATCCTTAATGCTGTCCTTTGGGGCTGTCCACTTGCTTATGTCTATGTGTAATCCTACTGGCATTGTCAGGACTCAGCTTAAACCTGGGAGTCCAGTAATGCTGGTCCCATTGCAGCTGACTATGTGTGTGGGTTTACTTCATGCTGAGATGGTTGTGGTTCCAACCACTAGCATTGTTGGGAGTATTGTGACTGCCGTGGGTGCCATAACAGGGGACTGAGACACAGCTGACCCGCCATCCCCTCCCAGCACTACCCTGCACCTCCACCTGGCTCCTGGAGGTGGTTTAGGCACTTAGCAAGCAGTGTGTTTTTTCATAATACTGCACAGTGTGAAGGATGCATCATTTGAAATTGTACAAATAATACCCAAGTTTCATCAGTTAAATATGGCAACTGACTCTTAGGAATATTTTTGTGCATAACATAACTAAATGTTATGCAGCTCTCTAGCTACCCCGAACGACCTGCTGAATTCAAACTTCATGCTGCCCATTGATTGCAATGGGCATCTCTAATGGCTACTGAAGTGTGCTGCATCCCCTGGCCCCAGTCCAGTAAAGCACTTAGACATACGCCTATGAGTTCCCTAGCTTGGCAGTAGGCTGTTAGCCCTTGTCAGCATTGAGTGGCTTACAGTGCTGTCAAAAGGCCCCTAGCTGTGGATGCAGAGAGGGTCTTGTGTTTGAAGTGGAGTCTCTGGAACCCTCTTTCAGGCAGGTTTGATTTAGAGCCAGGAGATCCACCTGCCTGGTGAATTGAAGCACAGTGCGGAGATGGGGTGCCATGCTAACTTTATCAGTATGGAGCTAGATGTATTTTAGGTTGCATTATCATGGACCCTGAGCAAATGAGTCCTCCTCAGATGACAGATATCTACAGAGCCTTCCCTATGTGCTTATCAGGCTGGCTGATAAAACTCTGCTCCACACCATGCATTACTGTCACAAAGGGGCCTTCTCAAGGAGTCTCAGGCTACTCATTTCAGATGTTAATACTGAGCTGTCTCAATATCATCCGCATGAGATAAACATGAATTAAACATTAGTAACCATCCCTGAGATTTGCTGGCAGAAGTTGTTCTTCCTTCAAGATTCTCAGGAGTAAATAGGAAAACCCATTTTCATTCCAGAACCAGAATCGGTACCAATATGCAGGCCTTGCAGACAAGCCGAAATGACCATTTAAAACATGAAAACCAAGAGGTAAAGGGACTGAAAGCGACTGGACAGTGGACATAATGATGCAAGAAGACCTCTTACTACTTTTTAGATAGCCCAAAGCAGAAATTATTATCTGAAGTGATTGTTATTATTTTGAAGTGATCAAAATCCAGTTAGCCTCGGTGCAGTGAATAAGCTGTCCACAGCTGAAAAATAACATGCTGCAGAATACAGAGCAGTAAGTTGGGCATTGCTTATGCAACAGACCATTTGCGGATATTTTTTTCCCCATGGTAGTGTGCAGTGTGAAGTTGTTACTCAGAGCACTAATTACAGTAGAATATAGTATTTATTTGGTCTAAAAATATTCCCACTGAGACCAATGGAATGGCTATTTTAAAGAAAACATTTCCCTTTCACTGCATAACCCAACTTCCTGAACTTAAAATAAAAAGCTAGATGGAGCCATCTCTGAAGCATCTTTTGGTGAGGATCATCATGGAAATTGCAATAGTTTCCTTAATACATATATTGCAGGCAGATAAAGGAACTAATACTTCATCTGTGTGTGATAGGTTTTATTTCTTTGATGCCAGATGAAAGGAGTCTCTTTGGCAAAGAAATGGTAATCTCTTCTTGTTGCACATATATCCAAATTGGAAATTATGACACTTCTCTCTACTTTCGCAAAGCAAAGAAAACAATTCAGAAGCAATAGCAGACAGTGCCTTGGAGGTTTTTTACATGCTGGGTGTCTGATTCTGCTTGTCACAGCAAAAACAGAGTCTCTATTTAGCAGCAGGGAAAAACAACCGAAAACAACCCAATTCTTGTCCTCTTTGAAACCCCAGCAAAATTCCAAGAGGGAAGAGACATGAGATTCATTATTATAACTATATTACTGAAAGAAACAGTCAGAAATCTGGCACACAGACAGTGTGAAATCAGAACAAAAACAAATCTAATCAAACCTTCAGAATAACTGCCCAAGTCCAAAAAAAAGGCAAAACAACAGATTATGTATAAAATGCAAGGTTATGGGGGAGATCAGTCTGCTCCTTTCTGCATGCTTATTGCCATGTTGACTCGTGGTATGTTTACAGACTGACTAGGAATGAGTGAATTGAATAATGCATGCATCAAACAGCATAAATATTTTTGCTGCTCAGCCAGCTGGATGTTAACCAACCTATTAATATTTAGTTGATGAATATTCGCCCATACAGATGCTTTCATTGGTCTAAGTGCTCCAGCTTAAGTGGATAGCTCTTCTCCATGCCCTATTGAATTCTGAAACATCCAAGGAAAATAAGTATTTAAGGTGACAATGAAAAAGCATCAGTGAGGTTGGAAGAACACATTTCAGCATGTTGCTGGTAGGTGGTGTAATGTGCCAGCTGTCCTCCAGTTTCCAAGATGTGCCAAGTGGTCTTAAGGACATGCTAGCGATGGACATCTTACTCCTTTCAAACAGTAGCCCAACCAGGGGCTAGCGAAGATATTAGAGATCTATGTAGGAAATAGAGATATTAGTATAAAACAAACATGGACAAAGCAGCAGTGTAAATGAGGCATGAGAAAACACATTTCAGAGAGGCACAAGCAAAAGATACGTGAGAAAACACGTGCTTCAAAGGCAAACTTGCTAAACCAGGATTGTACAAGGCATAGGTCCTTCCTCTCTTCTTGATAACATGGGATTGAATTGGAGGAATTCTTTAAACCCATTGTAAGGAGGCATGGTATTATTATAATTACTTGTTACTCATGGCAAAGCAGTACTATCAATGCTAAAACTGAGAGTCTGTTATTGTACGAAGCATGTCTGCTGAGTGTGAATGTCCTTGGTCTCAGTGTTTGCCCACTAAATAGAAAAGACAGGTGCAGGGTTCGGAGGAAGGCTTACGAAACATGAGGAGAATGAACGCATTAAACTAAGCCAAAAGTCATGGGTTGAGAGATGTTTCCCCAGCCATGAACAGGAAATGTAGGGACAAATATTTCTCTTGGGCAGAAACAGGCAGACCTTTTCTCAGGAAAAGACAGTTTCTTCTAGACCAGATGTGGGTTGTTGAACACTGGGGTAGCACACTGGGGTCAGCATGGCTCAGACACAAAAACCTTCACCCAGGACTCCTAAGCTGCATGGTCACCTTCGTGTCGGTGTGTTAACAGTAGTAACCTGCGCTGGAAATCAATGGAGAGCCTTCTGAGAAATGCCTCCATGTACAACAGCAGAAAGAAAATGAAATATCTGTGCAATTTCTGTGCAGTTCTTTTCTGGAATAGACCTTTCTCTCAAGGCAACCTCTACTCTGTAATCGCCTTGATTCTGGGGGACTGACTTCAGAATTTGCCTCTGTTGATGTACTCCTTTCTCTCCTTTCTTCCTACTTTCTGTTTCTCAATTCACTGTCATTAATATCAGGTTTTCAAGTATTCCTGGCATCATTCCAAATCCCCAAGTGCAACAGTATCCTCTCCACTTTTGCACACTCCCTCCTTCATTTTCTGGCATTTCATGTTTTGCCTCAGCACAATCATTCTTCGGGCTACCATCTCCCTCAGCTCTGGGATGGAGAGATGAAACCCGAAGTCACTGTAACTCCCTTAATCACTGCTGTATTTTATGAGGAGTAGAAAAAGGCACTGAGGGGGCAACAAGAAGGTTTCCTTCATATGCTTCCTGTCTGTCTGCTGTTTTACACTCTATACTTCAGCTTCAGAGATGCCAGAGGAAAGGAAAGAGGCCAGGACATGGGATGGGTTCTGTCTTAATCCCCCATCTTCTGATCTCAACTTCGTTTCACAATTCATCTGAATGCCCAAGACGTGAACTAGAAACCAAGCCTGGAGTCTCCATTTCAAGGGAATCCTGGGTCCACGACGTTTCAGTTTACTGCAGCAGTAACCCACCTCCTGTTCACCGGTATATCTTCTTCTCTCTTCCTTTGCAGAGCCTAAAGCAAGTTGCAGATTAGGTCGATCTGCATCCACATCAGGTGTGCCTCCTCCATCCGTTACTCCGCTCAGGCAAACCAGTGATCTTCAGCCAAGCCAGGTACCATCGTTAGCCAATCGTGAATGACTTCATGTGCTGCAACATGCCAAATGTTTCTCACCTCTGTGTCTGTCATTTGTTACAGTAAATGATTATTTTGTTTTTTGTCTTTTTTTTCCTGTGCGTGCATCTCTGTATGCGCATCTCTCATTGGCAATGAAATTCCACTGGTCACAGCCAGTAGAATTTTCTTTGCTCTTAATTCCTTGTATCGTTTTCTGTCTTCATTCTGTAATATAAATGTAGTAAAACTGTACTGTATGAATAGGCTGGGTTTTTTATTTTTTCATGTTTTCTGTACTTTTTTACTGTCCTTAAAATTTATCAAACTTTGATAAATTTAATCTATGTTTTTATGTAAATTTCTTTTAAATGTCTTGTCTAAAGCACTTGCACCAATGTTTGTCAATGACTTGTACATACCTGACTGCTGCCCAGTTGTACTTTAATATTTGTGCCAGTCTCACATTTGTTTTGAGCTTAATGCATGATTGTATTACACTGTGATTTATCACTGTCCTGAAAACTGCTCTTACAGCAAGTTATTTTGTTTAGTTAAGGCAGCTAGACTCTCTTCAGCTGTAGGCCATGTAATGCTTACAGGACTATTAAATAGTCCACTGTAGTTCTATTCATTGTATATTGTTAGGAATCAAAAACCAAATCAAAGGAGTAACATGTCCTCATATCTTGAATAGAGATACTTTTTTTTTCCTCATCAAAACCAAAAATGCCACATAGACCCTTGAGAAAGAAATGAAAGTGTTTGGGTTTGGCAAATTTCTCCAATAGCGAGAAAATGGAAAAGAAATAAAGACATGGGAAACCTATACTTACCTTTATTTTATATGCTAATACTGATATTGTATCATTTTGCTGCGCAGACCTGTATTATTAGTTTGACAGAACTAACTGCTGAGAGTAGCAATTGAGAGAAGAGGTTTCACTTAAACATAATGTTGAATGCCTTCTGTCAAGCTCAAAGCACTCCAGTGTTGTATCACTTGTGTGTACGTGTACGGGCCTACACATCACTGTGTATGTGTGTTGGTATACATATGCACAAAGAGACATAAACATATATGTATATATGTGCAGATACATACATGTATGCATACACACAAACACCCTTATTTAGATGGTGAATTTTTTATTGGCTTTCAGAGACTTAGTCCCCATAATTTTATTGAATTTCAGTGAGATTTGAGTGGAAAACTCCCTGAGGACTGCCTTGCAATAATCACATAATTAGGTTGTTCGTAGCTTGGTGAGTTGCTTCTAGAAGGTCTTGACCAAAGCAGAGACCAGAAGGGTAAGGTTGATTTACTCAATCCAGACAGCCAACTACTTGTTAGGAAGGTTATATTTGGGTAGCCTAGTCCATACATGCTAAAATTCTCTCACCTGCAAAACTGATGCTATCATATTACTTCTGAGCCCTGCTGGACACAATGCCTAGCAGAACCTTGCATGTTTCTAAAGCATATTTTACAGAAGAAAATCAAATCCATAATGGAGATTCAAAATGACAACCTGTTAAATACTATGTCAAGTGTTCCTTCATCTAAGGAAGAAATTAGGGTCTCGTACTTCCAAAAGTTTTGAGTGTCCTAGTGTTCATGTAGTGTATGTTTTTTGATTAAATGAGTCTTACAGCAGACATGATGTTTTGCTGGTTACTCAGTGGCAAAGGCACCTTGGGTGTTTTGAAGGGATTTTAGTTTCTCAGTTTATATTAAGAGCTAAACAATAAGCCTTGAAAGCAGAAGCTGATGTGATAGAGGAGATAATGAGCCTCTTAGAAGCTGCAGCCAGGGTTCACTGAAACTGTGGAGGAAAAATCCACCTCACTTCATACAGAAGAAAGGAACAAAGATGATAAGAGGAATTTTCAAGTGACTGTAGAGGGTGATCTTGTTAATTGAATAATGTATGGTATGGACATGGCTTCATGAAAAACAGGAAAAACTAGTAAAAGCTTTCTCTCCCCAAATGTCTTCCTTTCAAGCTGTCAATCTCTTACTGTCCATCTATTAAGTTGTTATTTATTATGATGGCATAATTTTTTTAAGATGTGGATTTGACCCTGATTCCAGTGGAATGACAAAAGTCTTATTATCTCCATGGCAGATACAAACAGTATTTTGATTGTGTTCTTTATGCACCTATTCTATCTTAATGTAAAAATAATCTATGACAGGTAAAATGTGTTTGGAAATGGCCAGGTTGTTAGCCTGCTCTGAATCTGACAGACTGTGGCATACAGGGTATTTATTTTCACGTGCTGTGGCTATTGATTGTGTTGATACTGGTTTCCTTAACCACATCATAATCAGCAGTTAGACTTTCCAAAAGATTAAGAGGACACATCCTGTTATTCACCTCTTTGTTGATGAGATGGGCATGGGTAATATTCATACAGGGATACAAGATCTGGGAAAGGGCAGATTACTGTTAATCGGTTTTCTCAAATCTTCATGGATCCCAAACTGGTGTTTTTCAGAATGTTTAACTTGGGAAAAAAAATCATATTTGCAACTGAGCTCTCAAGTCCCGTCATTTTTAATACAGAATCATTCAAGGAAGTGGTGAGGATGCTTAGTAATTAAAAATAGGTCTGATCTAATGAAACCTATATTATAATTCCAATCAAATATTGGCTAATTATGTAGCTATTGGCATTTAACTCCCCTATGCCTTATTTTCTTGTTTATTTATTGGTGTAGGAATTGCGAGGATTAACTAGTTAATATTAATGGAATATGTTTACAGTGTATTGATGGTAAGCATTATAGTGATCACTTAGAAATAAAAAGAAAGAGCTTACAAACAGAGATAAATTATGTGGCTGGTCTCTGATGGAGAACACTTTAAAATTCTGTAGTGTAGCAGCAGCCAGCAGTTACCAACACGCTGAGCCAGCTAGAGAGTATGCCATTCTGTGCTTAGTTCTGGTAAATGGTGAGGGCATTTTGAAAGAGCTGGTTGCAGGAAGTAACCTTGGATGAAGTTGTAAATTGATTCAATTTAAACTGAAAGATAAATATAAGGTTATCTTGGAACTGAAGTTACTGATTGTGTAAGGACAAAGTTTGAGAAATTAAGGAAGCAGCAGAGGAAGTCACGTGCTTGAAACTGTAATATGGCAGAAGCATGGAATATATTTGAGCTACAGAAATGGCATATAGCTGTATTTCCTAAATACATATATATATATCTCCTAAAGAGAGGAGTGTAAGTAGAAGAGAAGTATTCTAGATATCACAGAATGTAATGCCTTGTAAAGAGAAGAAAGAAGAAGAAGGAAAAAAAGGAAACCTTAAAGGTGCAGGAGCAGGCTGTCCCCACGTGCTAAAAGACGAGCCGACAGGAAGAAGATTGGCCTGGCTGAACAGAGATTTTCAGATGGAACGCAGGAAAAAAAGGAGAGCTTACAACCTTTGGAAGAAGGGGCAAGCAACTCAGGAGGACTGCAAGGATGTTGTGAGGTTATGCAGGGAGAAAATTAGAAGGGTCAAAGCCCAACTAGAACTTATTCTGGCTAGTGCTGTAAAAGACAATAAAAAATGTTTCTATAAATACATTAGCAACAAAAGGAGGGCTAAGGAGAATCTCCATCCTTTGTTGGATGCAGGGGGAAACAGTGACAAAGGTTGAGGAAAAGGCTGA